TATATGTTATATATAATATAATAAATCTATAAAACACATTTTATATTTATTTTATTAATGTATATTTGTATTATATAGAAATATCTATTGCATAAATAAAACACATATTATATAAATATAGGGAAATAATTCTATAAGACCCTGTCACAAATAATCTCCTATGGATCACCGTTGATCCTATGGTTCTAATCTCGAGTGAAAATGACTCAAATTTAAAGTTCACCTCTCTTTTTCTCTCCCCATAAAGACCCTAACACATTGTCGCATAGGCCTATACCCAACCTATCCCTATTTCTCTCTCTCAAGATGGGCCATGCAAAACCACCCTGGTTTGCTGGTCCCCAGCACTTCTCTCTTTCCCTCTCCTTCACCCTCGCGGCCTCTCTCCTCACGGCCTCTCTCCTCGCTCTGGTTTGTTCATGGAGGCGACCACCTCTCTCTCTCTCTCCCTCTTCTTCATGGAGAGAATCGGTAGCACCAAAAAAATCCATGGTAGCTGAGCTCTAGAGAGTAAATTGTTACCAAAACCCCCAAGATTCAAAGCGTTCAGAAAATTTTTTCATATCCGAGGTGAACAAAATTTGTTGAACTTTTCCTTTTCTTTAACTAGATTGGGCAGTTTTTTTATGGGTTTGGATAAGCTATTTTTATTTGATAAATTGACTACTTGTATTCATAAATGGGCAAAAATGTATAAATTGGGAGTTGTCAAAATCTACATGATTGTTAATGAGGTTATGATAGGATTTTTCTTAATTTTTTAGAAACTTTTGATGGGTATTGTCTAGTATACTCTATTGTTTCTTTTGGTTTGTAATCCACCCCAATTATTTCTTCCCATTCTTCTTGTGCCTACTCTTCTTCTTTCAATTGTCTCCGGTTGTAATTTTGTTTCATTTTGGACAGGAAATTACAAATGCTTTCTTGGACTCGGCTCAAATTTTGCATTTCTCGCTCAGTTTTGGTTACAAGTTTGCATTATTTCGCTCCAATTCGTGTCCAGTATTTGAGAGCTTGTATATTTTAATTTGCCGTACTCCAGACCAAAGCAAACTCTGTTCATGGGCTGTAAATTGATCCGTTCATGGACTGTAAATTGATCAATTTTATTAAAGTTAGCTGAACATTAGAACATCGCACTTCTTGCCGTAACCCAATCGGGTTGAAAATTTCTGACTTGTGTGTTTTGCACACGCCCATACATACACACACATAGAGTTCAGACTGGTTAGCCACTTCAGCCTTAGAGAGAGAGGGAGGGCCAAATTTTATGGTCGGGAATTTCGAGCAAAAACGAGGGTTGTTACGTATAAATAGATTCATTCTGCTTGAAATTGGATGGAGGGTGTGGGATGTAGGACTTTTGAAAAAGTTTGGGGCCGTCTATAGGACTTTTGGGGAAGCGTGTGCTATTCAAGGCACCGAGAAAAATCCAGGGGGACCGAGAAGGAATCAAGATAGAAGTTCATATTATTAAAGGCAGCATTTAAGTATGTTGATCTGCCATGGAAGAAGCCATGGCAACAGAACCTTCAAAGTTCCCCTCCTTCTATCGTAGAACTTTCAGAATTTCGTTATATTCTGTTGTGAGGTCTAGTGCTGCAGTTGACCGGGCCAATATGTTATCCCACAATTCCTTGCAAAAATTGTATCCTATTTTTCTCTTCCTCTCCTGATACCCAAAGCTTGGGCCATGGATGTCCACAAACACTCTAAACCATAAAAACCTCAACTCAAATACTATTATCAATGGCTAATACAGAGACCATTCTCAATGGCTAATACAGAGAAATTAAAAGACCATAGATCAAGATGAATGAAGTAGCCAGATGAGAAAGCAAATATTCAATCTAACCTTCTGAACTCCAAGGATTCACTAAATGACTATCAAATGAGTACGACTGCTCCACAAAAAATCTCCAGCCGAAAAATTTAGTATAACACCAAAACTTGTCAGCTTGTCCGCATCATTGTTGGCTTATATTGAGGGAGAGAGAAGAGGGAGGCCGTGAGGGAGAGAGAGAGAAAAGTGGTGGAGGGAGAGATATGAGCCACGAACGAACAAAAGAGAGAGAGAGAGAGAGAGAGAGAGGAGAGATGCCGTAAGGTACAGAGGCAAGGTCCGGTAAAAATCACCACTATTTGAGGGAGGGTCTAGTAAGAACCACCTCTATTTGAGGTAGTAAGATCACCACTATTTGAGGCAGGGTCATGTAGGGTTACTGTTTATAAATATATTATATTGCATAAATATATATTATATATTAAATATTATTAAAATATAATTTATATTTTAAATATATTATTTAATATATAAATAAATTATTATATAATATACTATATATATCGTAAGTTGTGAATAGTGAATAGAGGGTTCGCGTCTGACCTCGAGAGGTGAAGTTTTGTTTTACCGTGAATTAGACCCCATCGACCTTGGAACTTGTTTTCTGATCTTCCCCAATTCGAACGAGAGCTCTCTCATTTTAGGGCATAGGGATATAACTGATGATCCAAAGTCCTTGATTACGAGATTCTCTGAAAAATTGAGCTCAAATTTGTTTCATGCAGGTGCATACAAATAAAAAGAGAAAAACTTGCGCATTCTGTTTCTAGTTTGGTCAAATGGACACAAATGATGTTCCTAATGCCTCATTGCAGCTGCTTCATCAAGTCGAAAAGGTATTTCCCTTTGATTGGAAAGAGGAGAGAGTGTTATTATTCATGAAACATTCTTTCACCTCTCCTTTGGTCACATCTTATAATGGGATGTTTTGGTTTTCTAAAATGGTGGCTTAAATCTTGAGTCTTTGTTCACTTAATTTCCAGAGGATCGTTCGTGTTTTAGAGCTTGCTGGTGGAGTAATGGAGGAATTGGCAAATGGAACAGGTCCCAGAATGGAAGTTCTTAATAATTATTGCCGGGAGTTCATGCAATCCATTAAGGTGTAACACGTATTTGCTTTTTAGATATTTAGTATCTACCTTTTTTCAGTATACTCTTTTGTTGTTTTCGTTCGGACTATCCTTTGAAAGTGAGACCTATGAATCATTGTTATGCAAGTTTATGTGAGCACAAGAATTCTGCAATTCATCTTAGTTTTGATTTTCGCTTTTGTTTATTGTTGTAATATGTCTAACAGTGATGTAGAGCTCTTAAGGCTGGATTTGTTGTGCATCGTTTGTTCGACGTATTATTGGTTTCCCTGTAGTTTCCATAACAAGTTGCAAAGTAATTTATAATGAACTTGTCGAAAGTTTCTGCATTCTATTGTATTGGTCATCAAGTAATTGATTTAGATTTGTGATGACTCTAGAAAAATGCAATTTATCCATCCTATCCTACTGATTTGAAGAAAATGATGATCTTTCTCTCATATTATGTCTCTAGAAAGTGAATGTGTCTTCCTCTTAATGTGATAAATGTACGCCTGGTTCAGCATATTTTAAGTAGAATTGGCATAAATGTACACCAAGTTCGGCATGTTTATAAGTAGAATTGGTATCACATGTCATGCATTCAACTTTGATGGCATGAGTTCTTGAACTTACAAGAGCAATAGAAAGACACATTCTCTTTTTATTGAATAGAACATTCCCTTAATGGCTTGCATGGTTTGATTGTGTTGATTAGCTTCTTATTGGCATCTACCTTCTTGCCTCATGAGTTGTATTTCCTTTGAACAAGACGAGTTAGTATTTGTAACGGAAATAGTCACTAGTTTATTGACTGGTTGACTCTAAGGGCATGGATCCGTTTTTTTGTTTTCATCAATCAGTTGGAGGGCATCAAATATAGGTACCGTGAAAAGTTATATTGTGTGTATATTTACGGTATGTTTGGAATGGAGTGTAAGTTGCAGATATAGTGGCTTATATGCAAGGCCTACATAATTGGGTGCTTGGTGTGAGGTCAATATCTGCAGAATATCAGTCCCATTTATATCTTAATCGCTTCTTCTAGGGAAAACTAAGAAAGGGCTGTTTTACCATTGTCCCAAGCAAGGTGGTTTCGTGCAGGAGTTGTTGCTGCACCCAAAAATTATTATGCTTGTAATGATGTACTTCCTAAGATTCACCTCTGCGTCTGTCCTCATCTTTCATGATTCCTTCATGTCTTTCTTTTCGTTAGATAGTTAATGTCTAAACTTCTTCATCTTCTATGGATGTTTGCTTCTTCCACTGTGTAGGCTGCCTTCCCTTATGTAGACCTTCTATTTAAAACCTCGAGTTTATTTTTCATTTCATTAATTGAAGCTTGCACATAAGATAGAAATCCTTATGCTATTCGGGAATGACCATTACCACACCCAACCGGGAAGTGGTTAGCACAATAGCACATCAAAACGTTGCACATATCTAGAAATGTAGAAAAATAAAAGTGTACTATAAAGAAACATGTTTGATTTGAAGTTGTAAATTAATTATCTATATGAATATATAGACATGTAAGTGATGTATGGACTTGTGTTGGTGTCATACTATCATTGCCAAAATATAGGTGATGAGTCGGATTTTTTTGAATCTGACTTAGACATGGATTGTCGTATTCGTGTCCTTGTCACACAGCCTTGAATATATGTGAAAATGAGCAGGATGTCCAATATATGTGACAATGGTAGCAAGTGACAAGAAAGGAACTGATGAAAGATAAATATAGTACACAGTGTTCGATGACCAAAATTACCCTTCATGTTGACCAAAATTCCCCTCACATGTA